TAGAATAGTGATTTTATCAAATTATGAAACAAGATCTAAAGATTTATTGGTTGAACTGGGTGGGGAAGTACTAGAAGGATAGAATAAAGAGACAACTTGCTGTTCTAATGTACGAAATAACTCGTGACCATTTCCCCACCGTATTTGAGAAATATGTTTGCGAATGTTTCTAACGTTCACACTTATAACCTAAGAAATTCATCAGTTAAGTTGTATATTTCTAAACCCAAGTTAGAGATAGAGAAATGTAGCCTTCACTACAGAGGATCAGTTCTCTTGGACAAACTCCCAATACAAGCAAGAGAACAGGAAAGCTTAGACCTTAGAATAGTGATTTTATCAAATTATGAAACAAGATCTAAAGATTTATTGGTTGAACTGGGTGGGGAAGTACTAGAAGGATAGAATAAAGAGACAACTTGCTGTTCTAATGTACGAAATAACTCGTGACCATTTCCCCACCGTATTTGAGAAATATGTTTGCGAATGTTTCTAACGTTCACACTTGTAACCTAAGAAATTCATCACTTACGTTGTATATTCCTAAACCCAAGTTAGAGATAGGGAAATGTAGCCTTCACTACAGAGGATCAGTTCTCTGGGACAAACTCTCAATACAAGGAAGAGAACAGGAAAGCTTATACCTTTTTAAATCATTCTTCAGAGACAATGCTCTTTCGGGGAAGTCATAAAGTGCGTACATTATTTTAATGCGTAAGCTCTATATTTACGTACTCATTATTAGTATGTAATTTTAATTGCAGTGTTTTTGCATGGACTCGGAGGGCGGAGAGTGACAATAAACTTGATGGTTTGTTGTTGCTCTTTGTTCCTTGAGTTACATATATACGTACATACATACATACATACATACATACTTTATTTAAGGTATCATAAGAAATAAACGATACAAATAACACCCTAAAAAGGAAGTTTAAGAGGTTGACCCTACGTAAATAAACTTCCAAAAATAAAAATTAAAAACAAAATAAAAAAATAAAAATAAAGTTTGTGCAGAACATTGTAATTTTCTATTTCTGTAAGTTTTTTAATACTCCTCTAAACTTACGGCTCACTGGAAGACCACTGTACAATTTGTGTATGTGACACCGTGATAAAATAACGATTATGATGATGAATGTATTCCTGGGCAAATAAATGAGATTCCAGCGCAAAAAAGGGTTAATTCGGTCCCTACTTTACATGATATAAAGGTGTTCGGTTAGGCTATCGCACTAAAACGTCTCCTTCAGGCTCGAAAAACTTCCTTTCTTAACTGTTCTTGGGCATCTCGTACACAAGCTGTTCTTTAACTTCTAGCATGCAAACAAAATTCTTTCTTAAGGCTTTTATACGCAAATTCTTTCTTGGGCCTCTCTGGCAAGGACGTGGTCCTTTCCCACAAAACATTTCTCCTAAAGCTTCTGTTAGAAAAACTGCTTCTTGAGCGGCCTTTCCAACACAAACTGTTTATGTAACCTCTCCTTTATGAACGGTTCGTTAATGCACCTTCAGCAAAAACCATTTATTAACCCTCTGCCGGCACACAAACTGTTCCTTATGACCAATCACTTCGTAGATCACGAAACAAGGAAACAACAAACTAATTTACTAACTAAATAATCACTATTGGCGCTTGTATGACACGCTCAGAGACTTATCTTTCTAGTAACAAAGGAGCGAAAGTTTTAACACAAGAATACCCTTAATCTCCAGTAATTACAAATGCAAACAAAGATTAATATGGAATCAAATACATGTAGTACTGCATCTCACAGCTCTTTCTACATCATATGCTACAAGGTGTAAGTTGACAACATATTACAGTGAGAAAATGAATATCAAATGTCACAAAATTACACCCTACACATGAAATTTTCAGAATTTTACCTGTGTAATCACAATTCTTATGAAATTTGACATTCATTTTCTCGGACTTCCACAAGAAAGTTTTTCAGTGTTACTACAGATGACTTATTACGTCTCTAGCTCTTAAAAATGTAAAAAAGAATGCAATATTCTTTAAATTATTCTGGTACAAGGTATTTGCCCACTAAAAATTAACATTACTCAATTTCCTGGTGGGTTCTGTCTTACACCTTGAAACTGCAATGAATTAAGCAACATTACAGAATGATTATTTTCAGGGTACATGATTGTATTAATAACCTATCACGACTGTTACTAGGCTGGAAATGGGGATTTCTCCCGCCAGCGAGCTTCTATGAGCAGTATGACTCCCACCTATTTTCTTAGGAAACAAAACAACTTTCTAGTCATTCAATTGCCCACCTCGTAATTGCATACATTGTCTACCTGAGAATGTGAAAATTTAGTGACAGGTCTGGAAATAGTAATTTTGCATCTGTTGTGTTATGTATAAATGTGACCTTTCTAACCAAATTGAAAGAAGTATAACCTCGAGTTAAATGTATCAAAATTGATTTAAATAATAATAATTATTATTACTTTGGGTTTCAGGGAAAAATTCCAACAACAAAAAAACTCTGTCTTTCAAAACAAAATAATGGCGATATAATTATTGTTTACAGCATAAATGTACAGAGTTAGCAACTTAAACCTGACAATGAATACCAAACATATTTTGCGAGAAAAACGAATGAAAATGAACCTGTAAAATTATGGATCCTATATAGTGCGACAATAGTAAACCATGATAGAAAGAATAAAGATATTGCTTATTCACTTGATGACCGCAACCATACAGGTAATTGCTTGTCTTAACTTCTTCTAGCAACTTTTCACCATGAATAGAGTAGAGCACACTAACAAGTACTACGGCAAAATATAGAATACCAAGACCGTGGCAAAAACAACGAATAAATTACCCTTAATGAAAGTTTGCTCTAAGGTAAGATACACCACTGCTTAAGGTTGCTGATCTGCTGGAATAGCTGTTAACTAGGTTCCTCCACCAACCATCCATTTCACCAAAATCATCAGATGAAGAACATGAAGGAGAGTGGTCTGGAGACCACTGAGGGCTTTCAGCATTGAAATCACTTGAGCTACTCTCTGCGGTATGGTGTTGATCACTTTCATCTGAAGAGCCTGCTATGTTCTCCTCCGAATCCACTTGACTAGAAACGTCGTCTTCAATACTAGTTGGCCTAATCATTGCTCTTACTCTTGAATGTACAACTGGTAAGGTACCTTGTTCTTGTGTGATGTTACCACTTGATGAAGTCTGAGTGTATGCACTAGAAGGAGCTTGAAGTGACTGTCGTCTTGGAGGAGTGCCATCCACATCGAGAGAGATTTCCCTGTTTCTCCTAACAACTGGCGACCGGCTTCTACTGTGTCTTCTAGCTTCAGAAGCAGACTGCCGCAAAGCTCTTGACAGACGACGAGTCCTATCCAATTCTAACTGGTTAAGAGTTTCTTGTTGTAGTTCTTGCAAATCTCTTGCAATAAGATTGACTAATGTACTGCTAGTCGAGCCTTCGCGATCGGCAATAATCCCTTGGATCAGATTTGTTCTTGGTGTCCACAGCTGGTTTTCATTTTCTTCTTCATCATCAGAAAGCAATGAAATCAATCCAGAGTCTCCATCCTGCTGCTGGCCTGCTATAGCACTGCTGCTATTTCTAGTATTCCTAGTTTCCTGTGTTACATGGTTGGTTCTTGCTTGTTGTTGTTTCAGTTCCTGCATATCCTGTCTCAATTCAGTTAATGTTTGTTCAAGTGTAGCTACCCTACTTTCCAAACCTAATGACGACAAAACAAAAAAATTCTTTAAGAACCTGTTCTCAATGTGGGCCTGTGCTGGTAAGATGTATTCAGTGTATAGAACACTAGCATCTATGAAGCAAGGGTAACTCGCATCGCTACTGTTTCTTTTTGGATGCCTCTACCTCAGAAAAATAAAAAAAAATTAATTTCCAATTACCCAAGCAAACATGTTTAAAAGGGTGTTCTTGATAAGGTATTGAGAGAGTTCTAGACGGCACATTATTAATAGCAAACCTTAATGTGCTGATTTTATCAGTGGAAATTGCACTAAATCTTTTAGCAAGTTCAAGCTCAGAGTCATGACTTGGAAAAGTCACCAATCCTTTGACCTGGAACAGACTGTTAAACAGATTTAAACTGGGACTAAAATGGATTAATGACCACTATAGTAATTAAAGAGGCTCTGGACTAGAATTCAACTTGTTACAAATCGCACAACCTTTAATTTAAACCATTTTGTGAGAACACACCCTGTTTAAACATGACAATGATGATGAACATTTTTCATCTACTTAACCAATGTCTCTCATTAGACAGACAACATGATGCATGACCTACATTATACACCTTTTCACAGCCAAGGAGGAGAATACTATGTAACCACACTCAAAACTTGGTCCCAGTCTCAACCAAAAAGAACTAAAGCAAAGGTACTTGCCTCCACTGAGGGAATGGACTGCTGTGAAATCCCCACCTATTGTTGGCATTCCCTCTCCCCCTCCCCACCACAGGGTTTGAAATGATAAGTGCGTAAAATGACATCCATCAAGCGATATTAATGGAATATACCTGCATTTCTTCCATTCAGTTTTAATCAGACATTTAGCTATTTCATCTTTGGATACCTGTAAACTCTTTTGACATATGTTGAGTTTAGTCAAGACAAGGTTAAACTGCTACATGTAAGGCTACCTCGTCACTGCCTGGAAACAAGGTCACTATTAATTTTTATACGAGACATATGTGACTTGCTGAGCCTCGCAAAGGAGAGGCTAAGGGCCAGAAGTAGAAAGAAAGGGAATTCCAAAAGGGAAAAGAAAATATATGAGAAAAAAAAAGCAACCATAACAAAACGACAACAAAAGAAAAAAATGTTTAATCAGGAATTGAACCCCACACGTCCTGTTCAGTCAGTCTTTCCTTTACTACTGTGCTACTGAGGATAATTTTATATAATTGGCAAGAAAAGAATTTGATTTAAAGCCTTTTCCATGGAACTTCCGCCTGCCATGCTGTTTGTTGATGATCGAGCCGTATTGAACACAAATTCAAATATATATGTCAAGGAAATAACTCTGGGCTTTTGACGGTAAAAAACCAAATATTTTAAACAAACAAATGACCAACAAAGCTGATACAACTCATCTGCAAAGTAGGNGATGCCTCTACCTCAGAAAAATAAAAAAAAATTAATTTCCAATTACCCAAGCAAACATGTTTAAAAGGGTGTTCTTGATAAGGTATTGAGAGAGTTCTAGACGGCACATTATTAATAGCAAACCTTAATGTGCTGATTTTATCAGTGGAAATTGCACTAAATCTTTTAGCAAGTTCAAGCTCAGAGTCATGACTTGGAAAAGTCACCAATCCTTTGACCTGGAACAGACTGTTAAACAGATTTAAACTGGGACTAAAATGGATTAATGACCACTATAGTAATTAAAGAGGCTCTGGACTAGAATTCAACTTGTTACAAATCGCACAACCTTTAATTTAAACCATTTTGTGAGAACACACCCTGTTTAAACATGACAATGATGATGAACATTTTTCATCTACTTAACCAATGTCTCTCATTAGACAGACAACATGATGCATGACCTACATTATACACCTTTTCACAGCCAAGGAGGAGAATACTATGTAACCACACTCAAAACTTGGTCCCAGTCTCAACCAAAAAGAACTAAAGCAAAGGTACTTGCCTCCACTGAGGGAATGGACTGCTGTGAAATCCCCACCTATTGTTGGCATTCCCTCTCCCCCTCCCCACCACAGGGTTTGAAATGATAAGTGCGTAAAATGACATCCATCAAGCGATATTAATGGAATATACCTGCATTTCTTCCATTCAGTTTTAATCAGACATTTAGCTATTTCATCTTTGGATACCTGTAAACTCTTTTGACATATGTTGAGTTTAGTCAAGACAAGGTTAAACTGCTACATGTAAGGCTACCTCGTCACTGCCTGGAAACAAGGTCACTATTAATTTTTATACGAGACATATGTGACTTGCTGAGCCTCGCAAAGGAGAGGCTAAGGGCCAGAAGTAGAAAGAAAGGGAATTCCAAAAGGGAAAAGAAAATATATGAGAAAAAAAAAGCAACCATAACAAAACGACAACAAAAGAAAAAAATGTTTAATCAGGAATTGAACCCCACACGTCCTGTTCAGTCAGTCTTTCCTTTACTACTGTGCTACTGAGGATAATTTTATATAATTGGCAAGAAAAGAATTTGATTTAAAGCCTTTTCCATGGAACTTCCGCCTGCCATGCTGTTTGTTGATGATCGAGCCGTATTGAACACAAATTCAAATATATATGTCAAGGAAATAACTCTGGGCTTTTGACGGTAAAAAACCAAATATTTTAAACAAACAAATGACCAACAAAGCTGATACAACTCATCTGCAAAGTAGGATGCGAAACATATGTTTTTGTACCTAGATATTAGCTGTTATTTTGAAGCTAATGGTCCAAATCACATCCACTTTCTGTTAAAGGTACAGTGGAAGCCGGTTGATATGGATACCAAGGGGACAGCATGCTATGGTGTCGTCTGTATCAAGCAGGCTCTCAAAAAAACGTCAAGGATTTCATGTTTTATAAATATAACGGCTAAAGCAGATATTTTTACAAGAAAACCTTGCTTAAATTCTTAATAGGCCTTTCGCATTAGTTGATCACGTGATCAACTTTCAGTAAATACAAAAACAGTTCATTTTTGGAAACTTTTGTCAGCACGAGCTGAAAGAGCATATTAAAATTAGGTAACCTGCAAATTTTCAGCCATATATCTCAAAAGTAGCATTTGCAATGGCCACCAAAAATTAGAAGGATTTGTATCAGAAAAACTAAATAAATGCTTAAGGGAAAGGTTTAACAACGTTTGAAAATTTCAAAATTTACAAGGATTTGTATGGAAAACCATTCAAGTGTGACTGGGTGGCAAAAATTGTTTTTCTCAGACAAATCCTTCTAATATTCGGCTGCCATTGCAATGGCTACTTTTGAGATATACGGCTGAAAATTTACAGGTTAATAAATTTTGATATGCTCTTTCAGCTCTTGCTATTAAAATTTTTCAAAAGCGAACTGTTTTTGTGTTTGCCAAAAGTTGATCTCGTGATCAACTAATGCAAAAGGCCTATTGCAACTGTATCAAGTTAATGCCGGAGAAACCTCATGATCGATTATCATAGTTTCAAACTAAAATTACCTCTAGCCTTAAGTGTTGTTCTTGAAACATGACAATGGAATCTGTATGGAATCTGATGCTTTTAGCTTGTGTCTCAGCCAGGTGGACTAAATATAAGACAGAACCTACACGTGGGCAGTCCCCAGATGAACAGTGTCTGTAAAGTGGAGTTGATGATATAAATTGTGGGAGTTTGTGCCTCGGCACACGGGAAAATGTCTTTTGACTGTATTAGCCAATGTCCATTTAAGATAGTTATTTTTAGAGAAAATATATGAGCTTTTCATTAGGACAAACAAAACTGTTCATTATAATTTATACAGGTGTCTACAGAGCGGGGTTCCACTGTACCTCTACCTTCGAAATTTATCATTAAAAGCATTTCTAGACCTCTTAGACACTTGCTAAAACAACCAGGCCAGGTTTGTGGTGGTTTTGTTTAAATGCTGCCTTGTTGCTAGGCAACTGGATTCGCCTTAACCAATAGAGAGAGATATTTATGGCCAAAGCAAGATCACACTTCACTTGCTGATTGTTATGGGAGTTACATGCGATGCGAATTCTGACAAGATTATAAACCTCCCTTTGCAAGGAATTAGGGCAATGACCTATCGAATCAGTTAGTTTTGCCCTACATCTTCCAAATACGGTAAGTGAAGGTGTCAAATCTAATAATCGCTAATTGTACCACTACAATCCTGGACAAAAGTCCTTGGGACAGTACTGCAATATTCATATTTTTCTGTCATTTCTCAGTTCCCTCTTAAAACAGTGCATTCTTTTCGAAATCTTCTTGCAGTTCTCCCTCCCACCACCCTATACAAAGTTGAAACTCGGAAAAAATTCTGGATACACACGTCCAACATTGTTTGTGGGGTGAGGGGAGGGGTTGGACCTGTGTGAATTGGAAAACGCCCCAGAAACGCAAAAGTGTCCCAAGACTTTTGTCCATGATTGTAGTAGTACCGTACCAGTTTACACACCTCTGACCAAACTTTTCAAACTCTCGACACAGTTGTGGTCAGCTGCTTCACATAATTTATATTCCATGCCACAGCCACGATTAGAAAAAGCAGTACAGACAACTCGTCTAAAGGGGCACTCTTTCTTGTGTCGACAGCTGTCTTTTCTAGGAAAACTTTCGTGACATCCCTCGTTTTCGCACGTCATTGGAGCGTACGGGCATGAGCGAACGTGACTTCCTAGTTGTTCAAAGTCTACTATCTCGTTGCATCCCTCTTCGATGAAATTACAACGAATTCGTAGTTTGGCGATTATATTTCTCAGAAGTGGCAGCGCAGGTTTCATCTGCGAATTTTTCAACGGCTGACGGCAAGTCGGGCAAGTTGTTCTCATATCCAGCCACCTTGTAATGCATTCTGAACAAAAGACATGTCGACAAGGCGACTCAATTGGATCTTCCAAAACATTAGCGCAAATGCAGCAGACGAGTTCTGGATTGACATCCACAAATCTTTCTTGTTCAATTCCCATATTTACGGGTGGACAAAAAAAAAACAGTCCTGCCCTCAGTTGTCTTCAGTGCTCTTGATTCAATTTTGACAGTTTCTATACTCACTCGTTTCCCTTTGTTGTGCCAGGGGTAGTAGAGCCCAGTCCCCCTCGTCAGCCCCGGAAAATGTTCGGGATGTGACGAACTGACCTCTTGTCGGCGGTTTGCCGAATAAGGATATTTCCGGAAGTTAAATTATTCACGCCAACAATAATAAAGTCTCCACAGCTGCCACAGGAAAGGCTTGAAGGAATACGAAATGGAACCTAGGTTCTGTAGTAATCGTGCAAAATTGTAGCCATCCTTCATTTACAATGACATTTCATACTTCACAGACTTAGTCCAAAGAAACAAAAACACTTTCCCCGCGATATTAACGGATTTTTAAAGGGAATTCCCGCGTTGGAAATAGTTTGGTGGTTGTAGAAGTCTTGTTGACTTTTTCATGACTTCGAAGGCGAAAGCTTGACAGACACCATTTTGATTTTCAATCGTTTTACTTTCGGGTGGATGAAAAGATGGAACTGCGGGTTGGAAACAAGTACCGCCTTGGTAGAAAGATTGGAAGTGGGTCATTCGGAGACATTTACTTGGGTAAATTAATCATAATCCTTGAGAAGCAAAACACTAATAAGCTTAGAAATTTACAAGCTCGTACGTTTGTTAAGTTTTATCTCGCATACTGTAAATCGCGTTTTAATTTGCTCATACGCGTACGCTTATTATGATTTTTTTTACCATTTTAAAATTTCACGCAGTTGTGGTCTTTAGCCTGAAATGCGTTTATGTTTCTTTTAGGAACGAATATCTCAACAAACGAGGAGGTCGCTATCAAATTAGAATGTGTGAAGACGAAACATCCGCAGTTACATATTGAAGCAAAGTTTTACAAGATGATGCAGGGCGGTGGTAAGACATTTCCGATATTTAAGACATGAGGTCGTTTTAGACGAACTGTTCCTTCTTAACGTTATGTCTAAAATTAATATTTTGGTCAAAGCTATTTGTTTGTAGCACATCTTTGGCGTTTTAAAAGTGTATGTTTCAAACAGTAAGTTAATTTTATGCAAGTTGCAAAATAAAATGGTTATGGGGGTCGAGAAATGCTCACTGATTTCTTGCGTAATTGTGAGTGAAGTAGGCAATTTTTATTACGTCTCAAAATCCATTCTAGCATAAGATTTTTAAACTTGTAGTTTCGTTCAAGTGTTATTCGTCTTATTGCATAATTCTTTGTGATCTAGACATCCACACATTACTGGGGCATTTGACGAACCCATACAATAAATATTTATGGCGGAATTCAAACTTTTCTCAAAAATTGATGTCATTGGTCTCTGAAACTGTGCCTAAGATTGTTGTTCTAAGGCTAATTCATTTGTTGATCTTTGTGTTGGTGATGTGATGTAAAAACAATTTTTATTTACAGCTATATGTGTTCCATTTGGGAGCTTTCTGTTTTAAGTATGCCACTGTTTGGTTGTACCATGTTGCTGTAAATTTTGTGGTTAAAAGGGCCTCTGTCACAGTATTGCACCTGTCTGAGCTGAGAGAGTAGCTCATTGTTTTTAAAGTAACAGTATCCTGTTACTTTACATGTACCAAATGTTGATTTTCTGACAGGGATGTTGGGAATTCAAAAGACATGAGGAGAGTAAGAGAATGTTGAAAAATCTGTTTGCATCGCGCTTGGCCGAGTTCGATACTACCCTTAGGCTAAAACTTCTCAGAATTGCAGGGCAATGATATATTCCCATTAAGCTTCAATTTGGGTGAAATCCGTAGCTTTTGGCGTTTCTTTCATTGCCTTTGGCCGGAGGACTGAGAGAAGGGAGGTGCTTTATGCCTATTGAAGGCTTATTTTTCCAACCAGCTTCCATACAAGCTCAGATAATCGTGAAAGGAATAAGCAGAAATGGAACAGCAACAATAAAGACTATGTAAGAAGAAATCATTGAGACATGGATGTGACTGAGGAGATCTTGTGCCAGAAGCTTCTTGGAGCAGCATGTGTTGCAACGACGCGTTAGTGAACTTTTACTTAAACGTCCTTATGGCCGACAAAATCAAACAAGCGGGCACTCAATGTTTGGGGAAACGAGTGCAATGAAATCAGAATGTAATGTTCGACTAACCTTTGCAATGCTTCATTGCGTTGAGATTGCATTTTTTTCACATCTTTTTTAATCTGTGAGGCCAGAATGGTAGCAAATGTTGCTGAACTTAAACTTGCTACAAATTGACCTCCAACATGAGTTTCCCAGCAGAAAAGCTGTAAATTGAGCAGAACGAGCTTTGTAGGACACAAGCTCAAGGCAGCCGAGCAAGCGAGAAAATCCTGAGAAGTCTTCGTGCCACGAGCCAAATTTTAAATAAGATGAAAGACTTCTTCAAAAGGATAAAATATTATTTGATAGTGTAAACAACAAATCTCTGTCGGCAGTGCGATCCAGAAATCTTGTCGCATGTTTTTTTTTTACTCTCCTCCCCCCCAATCCAGTTTGTCTGGTATCAACGTGAGATCCGACTTGGCATTTTTATTACTACATGTACTTAGTTTTGTACTGCACGGCGTGTACAGCACTCCTCAGATAAAATTGCCAACAAGAAGTTTCAAGTATTTGTTGTGGTTCAATTTTATCCTTGATTTAATTATTATTTTCCTTTGTTTTGAGGTATAGTAATGCACGGCATCTACAATGTATCTTTTAATTATTAAGTTATTATTGTGCCCTCTAGAAACTTTATGTGCCAATTTTGATGTGACAACATTTTGTTATAACCTCCTAGGATGCAAATGTTTTAATCTTAACTCTTTCACTACCAAACCAGTTACTGAACTTAAGCTACCTTTGTTTTGATGGCTTTTCACCCCCCAAAAAAGGGTTTTCAAATTAGCCACGAAAGAGGCAGCAGTGTTTTCGCAACAATGGTTTGATCCGATAATTTCTGATTGTTTGATTGTACTGTAATTGGTCTTGTTGTTTTTAACAGTTGGTATTCCCATCATAAAGTGGTGTGGCACAGAGGGTGATTACAATGTTTTGGTCATGGAACTCCTTGGACCCAGTCTAGAAGATTTGTTTAACTTTTGCAACAGGAAGTTTAGTATAAAAACAGTTCTTCTTTTAGCTGATCAAATGGTGAGTGGCAAAGGGTTGCATACAGCTCTACATGTGCATAAACATCATTGCAGCAGTGCAGTTCTTTGCATACAAGTATCACACAAGTACTTTCCATTTTAACTGGGAAAGCTACAGTATGGGCTGAAGGGTTTAAATAGGAAAAGAGTTGTAAAAGCTGTTTAAAAATAATGGCAGAGGCCCTGAATTTTCTTCAAGTAGATGCAAAGATAAACACATGGATGTCCGGACCTTCTGTCTCCTTATAAAAATGTTGACCCAGTTTGCTTGGAACTGTGATTTTTTACAGGAATCATCTTTGTGTGTTTTGCATTGTTGTGCACCTTTGTCAATATAAAATCAGTTTTGCCAATTACATACATGTACAGTGGAACCCGGTTACATGTACTCCATTTGAACATGAGGGGCAGGCCATAGTTTCCATTTTTAACCGAGTGTTGTCATTAAGCAGGCCCTCAGAAAAAAAAAACGGACACATGTTTTATTGACATGAGGACAACTGCAATAATCTTGGACTTAAATTACAATTTATTACCTTTTAAGTATTGTTCTTGGAATGTGACAATGGAATCTGCAACTTTACTTTAATTAGTACTGAGGTTGCAAATTGGCGGAGTGTGGGGGCGTGTGTGCTGAGCGGTTAACACCTGGAACTCTGGATCTGGTGGTCTGGGTTTTCAAGTCTTGCCCATCGCATTGTTTCCTTAAACAAGGAACTTTACTCCAGTATGTCTTTCTTCACCCAGGTGTATAAATGGGTACCGGTGATATACTGCTGGGGCGTAACCCTGCAATGGACTAGCATCCCGTCCAAGGGGGAGGAACCATACTCCTAGGTATGCTTCATGCTACCGAAACTGGTATAAGCTCCGGCCGCTTGGGCCTTTGGCTCGTGTGCACCTTTACCATTTTTTTTAGCAAATCAGCTAGGTGGACTGAATATAACCTAAAACCGTTGAAAGGTTATTCGCCGTTTCTGTAAAGCTTTCATGTGTAAGATCTTTAGTCATAGCAGGGATGTCACTAAGATTTCTGGTTGCTGGGTAAGTACAACAAGTTGGTGGGTAATCAAACAGGTAGGAATTTCTTTGAGTTCCATGTTTCTTCTATTTTGCTATGAAAGTAGCCAAGGGCCACTTTCATAATAGTGGAGGAAACCCCCGTTTCCTGGCTCTTATTAGAGAGCTTTAGATTTTAAGACGAGCATGGCAACAAGTATGAGATTTTCTCAACACTAAGTAGTGCTCGCATGGGAGCCAGCATCATTTTGGCAGGAAAATGTGATAGCTGTTGTCGTTCTACTATGAGTTTTAGGGAGAATATCTTAGTGGCGGGAACAAGTTATCAAATGTGAGAAGTTTTAACATTTTGCTATCGGGAGAGGGCGGTTGTACTTATTAAGCGGTTGTACAATGTACATGTATTTTTTTGTACTTTTATATATTTATATTTTCTTGTTTTGTTGTACATTTTGTACTTATTAAGCTTTTGGTTGGGACAAACAAAACTGTGTCATTATTATAATATGGGTGTCTGTAGGGCAGGGTTCCACTGTACATAGTATGTGCACCAATCTCAGTACCAGTACTTTGAAATAGTGTCGATTGTTGCAATGTTTTTTGTCTTTACTTAGATCAGCAGAATAGAGTATGTTCACTCTAAGAATTTCATCCATCGTGATATCAAACCAGACAACTTTCTAATGGGACTTGGAAAAAAGGGCAGTTTAGTGTACATTATTGATTTTGGATTGGCAAAGAAATACAGAGACCCACGGACACACCAGCATATACCATACAGAGAAAACAAGAACCTGACAGGGACAGCAAGATATGCCAGTATTAACACTCACTTAGGAATTGGTATGTTGTGACTGCATTTTCTACATGTACATCAGATGATTTTTACATGCATGTCTAAATTTTTTTAATTTGAAATGTGCTGCATTTATACAATTACCATTTAGAGCTGGAGGATACATGATTGTTACAGAGCCCCCAATTATTAGTACTGTCAGGAGCATAGCCAGCTTCTCGACTTGTTGTAGCCTGGCTGGCTAAGGGTTGGAAATTTATTTCAACATGTCCTCCAAAATGTTTGTTTATAACCCTGTTGATTGCACACGTGACTAGTAAGCACTGACCTCATCTAAACTTTGAGCTCTTAAGCTCTTGAGCTTGCCCCAACAATACATGATTTATTACAAGTGGACCCAGGTGGTAGGTTGATAAAAACCAAAAAATTGTAGGCCCTGCAGTCCTACCAGTCTAAGGCTAGATACACCCCTGATTAGGGTAGTTTCTTGGCATTGGGGACAGGTGCAGTCACTAGACTGAAAGAAAACTGAACAATACCCACACCACAGCACAAAAGTGAACAAACATTGGGTTCCACAACACCAAGAAACATCCACACATTATCATGCGTGACAGGTGCAAAAAGGGTAGGGAGGGGGAAGGGGAGGGGAGAACAAATTTGCACCAATTATAAATTATGTGTATTGAGGTTAAATTAAAGTCAAACGAGGAAAACCATGAACACCAGAAATATTTCTTGAATGTTTTGCAAGAAAAAAGCCAATGGCACATGAGAAACCAAACTGTAAGCAAGGAGGTTAATTAATTTGTGTTTTGTTTTGGCTAGTTTGTGTGTCCTGATCTTTGCTGTGATTGGTTGTAACACAACAAGCCCTAGGATTGCAAATGGCATGGATAGCATTTTTCATTTCCATGCCCACAGATCATGGGAAACTATCTGTAACATTTTTTTGGTTCCATGGGAACCCACTTTTATTTCTTTTAATGAACAGAAACATGTTTTTAGACATACTTTTAAATTGAAGAACATCAGTGTGTACTATTAGTTACAAACAACTGCAATGTCTATTGACATGTCAGAAGAAGGTTTTTTAAATGTTAAATTTGTGTGCGCTAAAGTGTCAAAAACCCCAGACTCCTCTTCAATCCAACTAAAGAAGTGGACTCAGTTGAAATGTTTGCTATAGATCTTGTCTTTTCGTAAAGAGATTTGGGCCTCATCATCAGTTTCAACAGTGAAATTGTCACTAAAAGACCACCTTCTAAATGTTTTTAATCTTTTGAAGTCTTTTTTAAATGTTGTTAACTTTCATGCATGAGTCATCAGTAACATGCAATGCACTTTGGGAATGATTCAAAATAGTGGACGATAGAAAAACGGTAACGTTTTTTAAAATTTCGTATACCGGTATAATTATACGCAAGCAGAGTCATAAAGAATTGCTCTACTAGTTAAGAAGCCGGGTGGAAAAATACTATGTTTGTGTATTTTGATCCCTCAGTCTGAACATACATGTGTATCAGGATATGTCACAGGAAAATATTTTTCGGTTCTACTATTTTAAGATCACGGTGGTGACACTGTACCAGAAAAGATCATTGCCGTGAAATCCTAGGGCTTGACACAATAAACATCCCTGAGTGAAGTGTTCCCAATTTTCCTGTTTTGACTATATTATTGTAGTAAGAAAGGCCTTAAGTTTTTAAAAGTACAAATCAATGACATAGTTTAATCCTGCCTTGCTGTGTCTTTAGAGCAAAGCAGAAGAGATGATTTAGAATCACTTGGGTATGTTCTTATGTATTTTAACCTGGGAAGTTTGCCATGGCAAGGACTTAAGGCGGCTACAAAGAAACAGAAATATGAAAGGATCAGTGAAAAAAAGATGTCAACACCTATTGAGGTCCTCTGCAAGGGTTTTCCATGTATGTAATGATCACCTCAGTTTTAATTTGTGTAAAAATCGCTCGGCTTATAGTCGAATAAATACGGTACTTGTACAATGTATGCTTTTGAATTCCCTGTGCAGTAGATTTTTGTTCTACATCTGTACAGCTTTATAAGGAATCTTATTGTTCAAAAGTGAACATTTAAGCTGTTAATATCGTTATTTTACTTCTTCCATTTGGATGTGAACCTGGTATCACTCTATACAAAATACTTATGCAGATTTAATAATTATTCCAGTCCTTGGGCTTACCAACATGAATTTGACATTTTGTTTTCTTTTTCTCATAAATCAACATTTACATTGTAATCTCTTGAAATGACAAATGATTGTACATGTATCTTGAAACAAGTTTGTATGTACATGTATGATCTTATGGTGACCATTTTATCACTGCCACACTCCTGGCTTTGGACCTCTACTTGGGCATATAGATAAACAGCTGTTTATTGCTGAAGTTCAGTTCGACTGTTTTTATGGGTTTTATTAGGTAATGAAATTTATATGCAGAAAGAAGGCACAGATTATATTGTAAACCTTAGAACCACAGTTATACCATTCACAGTATTTGTATTATACTCTACTGAGTGTTGTTTCTCTTCCTTTTCTGCAGCTGAGTTTTCCACGTACTTAAACAACTGCAGGTCACTACGGTTTGATGATAAGCCTGACTACTCTTACTTGCGACAACTTTTTCGCAACCTGTTTCATTGTCAAGGATACGTGTATGATTATATCTTCGACTGGAATCTTCTCAAATTTGTAAGTTTTCATGCACCATTTTATTATTCTGATAAAATGCTGTGAAATTTCAATGATCTAATAACCAAGGCACTGGCCTCTAGACATGTTGGCCTGGGTACCACTTATTTTGCTTATGACAGACCACATCCACCTGTGGCAGAGTTAGTAGTCACAAGTTTGATTCCTTGGGCCTGATCAATACTTAGAACTGTCCACTGCTAGACCTTTGCTTGGCTATGCTGACCACACAGAAATGGCAGTCCCATCCTCAGCTGGAGACAACAACAACACAATCCTATGCTTTTAGTTTGGCAGTAGTGTTGTTCTATGTCTTGTAGAACTTGGCATTGTCTCTCCTGCTGTTTTACATGAGTGTGTGTTTTTTAATTCATTAATTAAACCTAAAACATCAGGCGTATTTGATAATGTGGTGGGTATGGGGTTTTAAAGTGGAGATGTCAGAAAAACTAAGTATATTAAATATAGTTAATTGTGAAATTAAGGGATTTGTCAGGATATTTTGAAAGAGAAAACACTTATTATTTTCATGTAGTTTGATAGCGAGGTATTAGCTCTGTTAGGCTGTTTTGACTTCATAAAGATCCTATAAAGTTTTGACCCAAGTTTAGTTTAGAAGGATTATGTTGAGTCTTGAAGGCGTAACAGAGCTATGAAGTATTTTTGGTTTTGCTCATTCTAAAGATCTGAAAAACAAAAAATCTTGTAATCAAAAACAAAATCTTATAATTCCAAAAATTCAACTATTTGTGACATTCCACGGTGGTCCTTTATTCCAACTCAGGGAAGAGAACCGGATCTGGGTGCTGAAAGATGTGGAATGAAGGGAGTAGAAAAAGTTTTGGAGAGAGAGCGTGAACCAAGAGAACCAGAAAGGAATCATCGAAGCTCTACAACTCGAGCCTTGGCTGGTGGGGCATCTGGCCGACTAAGAGAACCCATGACTGCTGCTACCCCTTCACCAGTTGGTAAGCATGGTCGTCTGGCCCACACTTTCCTTTTCTTAAAGGTTAAACCGCGAAACTCAGAACTATCAAGAAATATCGCTCTTCTTTAATTTGATAGCAGATTTCTAATCTCTCAGTTTATTCTTTTAAATTAACCAGGTGCACAAAGACCAATCTCGCGCGCTGAGAGAGAACGGCGCATTACACGTCTTCATCGTGGAGCGCCAGCTGACGTCACAAGTGGTGATCTCCCACGTGGTGACATATCCCGGATGTCTGGGGCCCATGTCCGCTCAACACCTGTAATGACACCAACATCTTCAGGAACAGGACTAAGAAGAGCCAGTGGAACAAGACAGGAGCGAGATGCTGGAATGATGGAACTCAGTGCTGTTCGTCATTCTTCCAAACATTTATCACGTGCTCAAAAATAATCGGCAAAGTGCATGTGAATTTCTATCTTATTCAGCATGACTGTGGTCGCCAAAAGCTCGAGCTTTTTTTGTTATTTTTCCTGTTGTTTACAGCGTTTGTCTCTCCATTAGTGTTATCCCGTGGATGTCTAATTTCAAGCTTTTTTTTTTTGTTGAACGGCAATTATTTGTATTGTGTTTTGGTAAAGTAAAATTCTTAATTAAATTCTTATTTTTCATTTAAATGATATAAAAACTAGAATTAGTGTTGGTGGCAGGAACATCACACATAGTATCGTTTTCTACAAGCATAGAATTTGTTACAAATAGTATTTGCTTATTTAAGTCCAAGTGTTTTTCATTTGTATTTTGGCGCGTCTTTCGTTAAGCTGGTAGTACATGTACTAAAGTCATTAATGGTTAAATTCAGGCTGTTTTTGGTGGTTTTAAGTGAATCAAAACAGAATAATGACGAGACGCACCGTTCCGTCGTGTCATGGGTTTACAAAGTTGACGTGGGAAAAAAAGCGCTTAAGGAAAACCACTCATTGAAAATATGTGTTACCGCACTTTTTTAAGCATAGGTAGGCGGGGATTGAAATTGGGCTTCAGCCTTTCTGAAGACTAATTTTCATTTAGCGGATGGTCAAGGAAATGGGTGTTGAAGACAAAAGCTACGCTTAAACTAAGAGCAGTCTGATATCGAACTCAAACAAATGCATGATCTTAGTTAATACTTAGTCTGCAGGAATGATTCGAGTTAACCCTTAGTGAGAACCTCCTATTTACACTAGAAAACACTTGTAAATAACTACTTAAGCATAACGGAAACAGTTAAATTATCTACCTTTAAACTAAACTGAACATTGTACAGAGTGAAACAAAACAAAGACCTGATCAAACCTGAAGTCTTTTATATTTCGTGTCTGACCGCCTGATCCCAGGTTGAAACGAAGTCTGCATTAGAATTGCTTTGAATAAAAACAACCAGTCTTGTCTAAAAAAAATTCTCCGCCAGAAATTTCCGTTTCGTAAAATGTTGTTGCCATTTTGAAGACACTGTGAAATTTTCTAAAAGAATTAGTTAAGACCGCATCACTCTCCGAACTTTGCTCACCGTCCTTTTTTAGAGAACGAGTGGGAGATTGGGGAGAGAACGTGATGACCTTCTGCGCATGGTGGATCGCGCATACAAATCTGATTTGTGCACGGGATAGTGGGGGAGTTTTGAGAGACAAAAGCCGTTTACCGGGAAGTAGTTTGTCAGTTTGTCGAAACGAAAATGGCGTTGAAATAACTTATCCAGGATATTCCTTCATCTGAATCCTCCCGGAGCAGCGAGTAACGTATTTATAATTTTTTT